GAAAAGTAACCATGTCGTGTAATCGCGCCGTAAGAGTATTTCAGTAACTCAAGTCATTCTGTGGATATTGTAAGAGGGGACAGAAGAAATAGAAACAGGAAAGGTGCAGCAGAATCTTCCTGATAACGTTTTAAAATAAAAAAATGGAAACACTGCAGTTATCAACACGCATTGCCAAAGGGTGGCAATAATTTTAAATATCCCCAAACAGTGCAGTCTAATAAGAAATAGATTTTCCTTCTAAATTCCTGTGCTCTCTTCTACGTTTTATAATTCATTCTTATCTGCTCATGGAATAAAACACTAAAACTCCTTATATTTATTGATTAAACGATTTCCGATGGTTGCCGATCTATCTTCTGAAGCTTTCTGTCTTTTTAACGTTTATTGTATGCCAGCACAAAACGCGTAGGTATGTTCTACTAGTGCCTAAAATTCTAGAATTCAACCTTTTGTAGCATGAATTCGTATCTAACGATCATATCGAACATACAAATAACATAAAGAGCACATTGTTAGAAAGATAAATGATTGTGCAACTAATTAGCTTTTTTTAATTGATTAAAAAATTGAAGAATTAAAATAAAAAATATATTCTTGTTTTATGAACAAATGATATTACAGTTATTTTAAAATATGTTCAAGTAATAAAATTAAAAATAAAATTTGGCAAAAGGTTACATTACGGAAGGGAAGGATTCCAGAGGCGTCTTCGTGAAATTAAGTTACATTCATATCCAATTCAGTAAATCCCGTGGACCTTGCAATAGCCAAGGCTTTAAAGTTTAAATCGAATTACTTTCTAAAATGTTGTCAGTTTTATTGAGGTAAAGTATTTTACTTAATTTATATCTGCTGACATCTCTGAAATAATACCTTCATTACATAAAGACAGATGTTTTTGCATCATTATAATTTAACACTATTACCGTTTGAGATATTGTTAAATACCTATAGCAAATTTATAACAGTTTGCATACAATTTAAAAACATCAAGTGATCGTCAGTTTCAGAAGGTATAAACGGAAAGTCCACAATTGGACGTGGCCTTCCAATATTTGATAAGATTTATTAGGATCGCAGGAATATTGGTGATAGCAGTACTGTAGACTCCCTATCTTTATTACCGCTCTGAAACGTCGGTATTAAGTACTAAATGCATTATTATATTTTGAATCTTTAATACATTGGACGATTTTAATATAAACCATTAAATTTCACGATATAATAACCAATATGACACCCACGCTGTGAAATTAAATGTTAAATAGTGCCATATCCTCACCATTGTTTTTATATGTAAAATACATAAAAAACAAGATAATGTATCTTTTTGCATGTATATTTGTATGACAGATGCTTATTATTCATTATCATCACTACAGCTCTTTACAAGTCTACTACCTCCCCCAAGAAATGCCACAAAGCACGGTCCTGAGGCAACTGCATTCATCGACTACCTGCATAACTTACCAGGTCGTCATTCCATCTAGTGGGGAGTCACCCTACACGTCTCCTACCGGTACAAGGCTGCCACTCGAAAAATTTTTCCCCATCGGTTGTTGGTTCTTTGAGCTGTATGGCCGGCCTATTGCCACTTCAGCTTACTAACCCGTTGGGCTACGTTGGTCACTCTGATTATACTGCGGATATACTGATATTTAAGTTTATCACGCAGAGAAACCCCCTAGCATAGCCCTCCCAATAGCTTGCTGAACGACCTTGAGCGTCCTCATATGGCCAGCATAGAAGGACCACATCTCAGATCCATAAGTCATCACAGGCAACACGCACTGGTTTTACAATCTCGTTTTCAGGATTTGATGTATATACCGGACGAGTAGATGTGTCGTACTTTCCCGAACGCTTCCAGCCAAGTTTAATACCTACCTACCTATAGGTTGAAGTTGGACTAACCTAGTTTTATTTTTATTTTATAGTAGAAGGGGCAAACGAGCATACGGCTCACCTGATGTTAAGTGACTATCACCGTTCATGCAACTGCAACACCAGGGAAATAGCAGGTGCGTTGTCCGCCTTTTAGAAAGGAGTAAGCACTTTACTTGAATGTACATAAATCGTATCGGTTCGGAAAAATCGCCAGTGGTAAACTATTCCACAGAGATGACGTACGTGGAAGAAACTCCTAGTCGTACGTACAGTGGTGGATCGCCAAGCATCCAGATCGTTTGGATGGTATCGGGAGTTTTCACGCGACGTGCGTTCATGAAATTTGGCAGCTGGGATTAATCCAAACAATTCCTCAGAGCACTCGCCGTGGCAGATGCGAAAGAAAATGAAAAGGGATGCAACATCTCTTTGTGCTACCAACAATTACCAGCATGGGTGTGACATAGACATTACACATGACCTTTGTTTCGTCCATTTTCATCTTAAGGCCTATCTATTGGGCAACATTATTGTGATCATTGAGCATAGTGCTTAGCCCTTTCAGAACAGAATGATACGATACTGGGTTCAACTTTGAAAAATTCTTGTGAATAAGCTAATCAATTTTTCCGCGCCAAAATGCTGTTGATCGATTGTGTACTTCATAAAATTTAAGATTTTAAAAATAAAGTCCTTCATTGGCATTTATCCGTGCCGTGTCAAGTGACAAGTATGGACGCGTACTTAAAAACGGGAAACACGTAAAGTAAGTATTTATTTAAATAACTTAATTGGTAGATTTTAATATGTTTAACTTGCATTTATTTCAAACGTATCCGAAAAATGTAGAATTTGTTTTTATTTTCAATAAAAATTTGAAAAAGTGTGGTTCTGAAAGTACCTGAAGTCATAGAATACGATCATGCGTGTCAGGACGGTGTTCGTTTTTTAATTATTCTAAGTAATGAAAATCTTTCGTTTCATTTAGGGCCTTTGACTTCGAAGTTGGTTCGTGAACTCATCAGGAATGGTTGTAACTTGGAGCTCGAAGATTCAGAAGCTTAAAATCTTCTCAGCAGAGCAGTCGCGGCAGAACAGACTAGCACAGAAGATGAAATGGACGCAATTAATGAGTCCAGCGTAAGACTTTACGCCGACGCCGATATTTCTGTAAAAAATACTGATTTTTCCATGCCAGTGGATGGGCCACAATCTAAACGACAACGTTGTACCGCAAGCAACTTTTCATCAAATCAATGTCGCACAATCGATGTACAGCCGTCATCCTCGTGTTGCAGTCTGTCGGCGTCGTCAACAAATCGACCCTACCTATTGCCACTACAAGTCGTGCTACCAGTTCAACTTAGCCATTCTTCTGCATCTAGTGTTCGAACACCAACCACACAGATAAACCAATGACACAGGAACTGGAGACGAAAGCCTTTTTAAGATAAAGGTGACTCTAGATATTTATCTCGCCCAGGAACTCCTCTTACACCTTTGGAGTATTTTTCTTTATATTTTGACCATCACTTTTTTGAAACCGCTGCTAATTGTACTAATATTTATTATATGACAAAAAATGGCAATGTGCTTAATGCAAAAGCAGGAGGCATCAAAAAATTCCATGGAGTTTTACTGGTAATAGGATGTATTAACTATCCCAGAATCCATAAGTACGAGTGTCAAGATTTGCAACTTACATCTAATATCAGGACCGCTTCTTCTTACTCGGCGACAATCTGCAAGTCGTATTTTCAGACACACTACCACCAAATAATACAAACTCACTCTGAAAACTACAGCCAGCAATCCAAACCATTCACAAAGCTACCGAAAAAATTGAGGTGACGCCAGGCTGATACAGTATCGACGAGCAAATAATTTATTTTACGATAAGATGTCGCATTCGTGTATTAGTGCGAAACAAACCGCGACCACTGGGATTAAAAACTTTGTAGTTACTACATACCAAGGCCTCAAGGTCAATTTTGAGATATACTACCTGCAAAAGGTACTTCTGAATTATGGAGTCAAAATAAAAAAGACTTTTTAGATTTTAAGCTTTGTACGTATTTTTATTAATTTGCTGCGTCTGGACTCCTGTAATTTGGCCAATCGCACATTACCTCTTACATTTAACAGTATTTCGAAAGTTGTCATAAACTCAAATATATTATGAAAATGTTAATAATTTAAAATATACCTAAGTTTAGTATATACCACACGGAACTGGAATACAGTAAAATCATGGGTATTCATTAAAAATAACGATACTATTGTACTCTCATTAGTCAATCAACATTGTGCCACGCAAAAAACATGTTATGTTGACAGATGACAAAACGATAAAATAGATAGGCGTTAGACGTGCGATCGGTAATTGGACATAGTTATGCAAACTAGAAAGAACCTACAAAAAGGGACTTTAGAGATAATTAGAGTTTTGTTTCTAAAGTGTGTAGAAATAAATAGGTAAGTTATTTGAAACAAAAAACTTTACAACGTTAAGGTTAGTATTGATAACATTATAGGACAATTAAATTATTTGGATTTTAGGTACATTTATTATGTGTTTTTGATCAAAAACTGATGGTTCCTTAATGCAAAATTACTGTCTTGTGTGTTGGTTCTTTATTACAATACGTTAAGGTTTTTCAAGTAGGTAGATTGCTTCAAATAATTTTAAAATACTTACGTTTTAATCACATTTTTATTAACTTGAACATACATACTAGTTTAACACATTAAATTGTATCTGTAACAACTTATTAAGCAAAGCACTGTTATTGATCTTCATCCTACATTACCTAATCGTCATCATCCACTTCTACCTCAAATTCCACTTCACCAGAAAACCCGTCTATCCCCCCGTCCCGTCATCTTCAGGAATACAATGCAACAAGATTTTTAAGTCAATTAACTTTGCTTCGGAGACTGACTTACCATTAAGCCAAAGCGGATCCATAAGTTCTTTGGTAGATGAGTAAAATTTTCCTTAAAATTACTTCTACATAGTCAGCATCTAGATCAGATCTCATAAAAATCGAAAACCCTCTTTTTTCTTGACCATTATCTCTTTTATTTTATGCCGAGATACTTTTGATCCATCAGTGGCTTTTTCTGTTAGTTATTCTCTTTTCTAGGTTAGCACTTGATAAAAGGTCTTCTTTTGTCATTCTAAGCACTTGCATTGGTTTATTCTTTTTGCATGTCTGCATTATTCGCATGTAGTCTTCCGGCGTGTACATTCTTTGCTGCAATTTTAGAGCACATGCGATTCGAACAAAAACGGTATCATTAGGCAAGAAACTATGGCCGGATTCCAAGAAGCGCAGCATGACTGATAAAAAATATAATAAACAAATCAATATAATAAATTTATTGATTTGAGACTTGTTGAGAGATTGTTGGAAGATATCCACACATTTGTTCACTTCACTGTCTGGGACACTGTATGTTCCGCCAGTCTGTGTGACGGGGTTCATTTTGCAAAAGGAATCTACAGTGTCCGCTTCCGCCTTGTGAAAGGGGAATTTTCCCCTGAGGGAAATCCCCTTTTTATCTGAGTAAAAGGGGATTTCCCTCTACTTGTAGTCTAATCAGTTTAAGTTTTCTTTTAAAGAGAGATTTTCGAACATGGTACTATAAAGTATTAGTGTCCTGCACACTGCATTAAGACATTATTATCTATATTTAAAAAAATTGAAATTTTTAAAATAAATTGTAACCCTCTCTTGTGGCATATCATAAATTAAAGCCCCATTCAGCAGCTTTAAAATGGGACCACTGCCTGATTTACATCATCAATGTTTGTTATGCACCCAAAAGGTCCAAAACATGAAATTTTTTCATAAAAATTTAAATCTTCCAAAATTAATAACTTCAATAATAATTGTGCTCCATAATTGAAATTTTGTATTTTTTCATAAGTCTATGATATATTGCTGCATAAAAAAAATCATGAAACTCTGAAACTCTGAGACATTAATTCTAAAAATCTCACAAAATTGTTGAATTGACATGGAGTTCTTTGTTTTACAACTGTAAAAACACAAAATGTAATTACTTATAAGGAACTAAGTATCTTGATTATTTTATAAGCGGCTTTATATGTTATACAAAATAGAACCATACATCATGGTTCTTTTTAGCAAGAAAAAGTCAAACACAATTTTGTCCGTTTCTTTTTTTAAGGGAACCACGTGGCTTGGTTCTATTTTGCGTATTGCAAAAGCTGAAGATCTACAGGTACTATGCGGCATAGGTTCGTTTAGCTTTTAAAAAAAGACTCCATCTAGGGTTAGTATCCTTGGCAGCTTTCATTAATATGAATAAAAACTATCTCAAGCAGCTTGGATCTCTTTTGAGTATATGAAAGTTGATTCGTAGATTCTGTTGGTACCAATAACTAAATTTCACCAGTTTTGTGGGTTGGTTCTAGTTTGCATAACTGTGTCCAATTATGTGTCGAACAAGAGTTGATTACTGATTTGTGAATTACATTTACTACATTCTGAAAATGTATGGCTCTTGAGAGGGAGAATACATAGCCGCCATATTAGTAGTAAAACTTTTTTTGTATACATTTTGGTTGATGAGTCAGAAATTGGGTGGAAGGCAATAAAAAAATATCGTTGTAATTGTGTTGTTGGGCCCAGAACTATAGGTTGCTGCGCCCATGTTATGACCATAATATGTTATTTAAGTTGGGCCCGATACCAAGAAAATATTCGATAACATAAAAACCCTGCTCAATTCTTGAAGAATATTTTGCTCGAAAGTAATGATGGTTGATAGTACCAATCATTACTTTGGTTGCCAAATGAGTGTATAAATTGTATTTAATTGGTATGAATAAAACAAATACCTAATCACAACCTGAGTTTTATTTACCGTATAAGTGCTAGGCCAAGACTGAACTACTATTTAACATAGTAATATTAGCAATAACATTGTAATATTTCATAAAAGTAAAAGATAACCTCAAAATCTCTACGATAACTGCTAATATCTCTGTTTTCGGAAGTGTCCGTCAAGAATTATTGTTCTTACATACAATTATGTATAATTTCGGACTTAAAAAGGTATTTTTGTTACTGTTGGTTCTTAGGCGAACATTGAATGGACGCAGAACAATGTCCTTTAAGAACTGAAAATCATTAACAGTTGCTCGAACATAACTTCTTTGTAATTAAACACAGACAACCAATATTAATTGTATAATACGCCTCTGAAAGAACAAAAGCGAATAGTAAATGCTTCTAAAGCGGTCACCTATAAAATGGTTGACCAAAGAGAACTTTGCTGCACGTCGGTAATCGCTTGTATTAACGACAACACAATAGGAATACTTTATTTAAATTTATATTGTTATTAATGTAAGTGTTTATTGTTTGGAATGGATTAAAAATATCAAGGACGATGAATTTTATATTGTGGATAATAGATTCAAGTAAATTTTTTTGCATGCCTAATCTTATTATTATCTTTAGCGCAATTTTATCATCATCGTAAATTTTTAATTTTTTTTAGTTATTATTTATTAAGGAGGCTCTGCTGTCCATCTCTTGACTAATTTCCTTCAGTCGCCTCGTCTTTCACCAACGGGACATGATGATGTCCTTTATACTCGTATGAAGTGATTTCATAAGAAATCAGGATAAAATTAAAAACTACTTACTACTTGTCTATTTCATTGATTAAGTCAATGATCTATTAAAATTATTTTTTTTTCATTAATTTCGAATTAAATTGACCTTATTTTATTAGTTCGTCTTCTTACTCTTTGTATCTGTACTCGTACGTGATATGTCTCTTCTCAACGCATTGCATCATACCAATAGCTTTTTATTCCCTTTTGTAGCTTTTTTAGATTCCCATAGGACCGTGAGGTGGCTGATGCCCCATGTCAGTGTTAATCTGGAGTACATTCAGATTGTTAATTATTATTTATGGCCCGATATACGTAGAATGATATTATTGTGTTCGCTATTGAAATTAGGATGTTTTTTTAATTTCAATAGCCTCACGTGTCATTCTTGGTAGAAATCGATGTTCGATAACATATATATAACAGTTTGTGTTCATATTCTAGACGGCCCCAAACAATTACATCAGATTTGATACACTAAAAATCTGCGGTATCCAACCCGCTAGCCAAGCGTGGCAACTATGGCAAATATCCCCCCTTGAGTAACGACGCACATAAACGGCCCCCAGTCCCCGGCGGCCCCGCTATTCCTGGATACGGTGGCGACAATGGTAACGGCGGGGCAGGGGGTGCTAAGAATCTCCGGTGGAGGTTCGGTTGCCACCTACGACGACTCGACCTGGCAACGTATAACGCACGCACCCTGAGGACTGACGAGAAGATACTGGATCTGGAAGAAGAGGTAGACGAGTTGCGCTGGCATATTATTGGATTATCTGAGGTCCGAAGAGAGCGGTAGGACACGGTAATCCTCGAGTCCGGCAACTTGTTCTATCACCGGGAGGGCGACCATCTGTCCCAAGGAGGTGTCGGATTTATCGTCCACAAGTCTCTCGTCAACAACGTTGTAAAGATTGGGAGTGTGTCGACGAGGGTCGCGTACCTGATACTCAGAATCACCAAACGGTATTCGCTGAAGGTCATACAGGTCTACGCACCAACCTTGGTACATCCCGATGAGGAGGTGGAGGAAATGTATGAGGATATTTCTAGAGCCATGCTTTGCTCCAAAACCCACTACACGGTGTTGATGGGAGACTTCAACGCAAAACTAGGCACAAGAGAGGGCGGTGAGCTGAAGTTAGGGAAATTTGGAGTAGGACAACGGATCCGTAGGGGCCAGCAGCTGGCTGACTTTATGGAGAAAGAGGGACTCTTTATGATGAACTCTTTCTTCCAGAAGCGGCCCCACAGGAAGTGGACCTGGTCGAGCCCCGATGGTTCTACAAAAAATGAGATTGACTTCATTATGACGATCAGACGCCAACTGTTCAGTTATGTCTCAGTGATTGCAATGGTGAAAACCGGCAGCGATCACCGAATGGTTAGAGGCACACTGAACCTAAACGTTAAGTTGGAGAGGTCTCGTCTAATGAAGTCAACGCTCCGTCCCCTTCGTGCTCTAATCCAGAATCCCGATACTTTTCAGCTCGAGTTAAGTAACCGCTTTCAGTGCCTAGAAGATTGCAATGCAGTGGACGATATGAATGACAAGCTCGTGGAAACTGTCCATGCGGTTGGAGCTAAGTTCTGCAAGACCCGCCGCAGAAGAACACAAAAACTCTCTGATCACACTCTTAACCTCATGGCTGTTAGACGGGAGGTGAGGCTGCAATCGTCAACAGATTTGACAGCATACAGGCAACTGAACAGACAGATCTCCAAATATATGCGGCGAGACTTACGCAACTTTAATACTGTTCGTATTAAAGAAGCGATCGAGCGGAACCAGGGCTCCAAAGTCTTTTCAGAGATCTGTCTGCCAGAAAGAGCCCACTGTCAAAGCTGAAGACTGAGTGTGGCAGTATAGTTTCCGAGTCACCTGAGATTTTGGGTGAGATTGAGAGGTTCTATGGGCAGCTGTACACATCATCGTTGGAGCCACACGCAAGTGTGAGTAACGATTCAAGAGCAAGTCTTATCCGATGCTATTCCGATGATATCCCGGACGTCAGTCTGAGTGAGATTAGAATGGCTCTCCAGCACCTTAAAAACGGCAGGGCCCCAGGCGAGGATGGAATTACAGCGGAGCTTCTGAAAGCGGGTGGAACACCGGTACTTGAAGTCCTTCAGAAGCTCTTCAATTCCGTCCTCCATGGTGGCACTACTCCGGAGGCGTGGAGCAGAAGTGCGGTGGTCTTGTTCTTTAAGAAAGGCGACAACGCTCTCTAGAAGAACTACAGACCGATTTCCCTTCTGAGCCGCGTCTACGTGCTGTTTTCGAGAGTAATTACGAATCGTCTCGTATACAGACTCGACGACTTCCAGCCTCCCGAACAAGCCGGTTTTCGAAAAGGCTTCAGTACCATAGACCACATACATACCCTGCGGCAGATTGTACAGAAGACCGAAGAGTACAATCTGCCACTTTGCCTGGCGTATGTGGACTAGGAGAAAGCCTTTGATTCTGTCGAAATTTGGGCGGTGCTACAGTCCTTTAAGCGGTGCCAAATTGACTGTCGGTATAGCGAAGTGCTGAAGTGTTTGTACAGTAGGGCTACGATGGATATCCGAGTACATAATCAGAGCTCGAAACCTATCCAACTGCAGAGCGGTGTAAGACAGGGTGACGTGATATCCCCGAAACTCTTCACCGCTGCATTGGAAGACGTTTTCAAGCTACTAGACTG